TTTGGTTTTTTTTTAAGTGTTTGGGTGCTGTGGTTGGGTGTGGGTGTGGGTGTGTGTGGGTGGGGGGGGGGGGGGGTTCTGTGGGACCAGTGCATAGATGCTTGTTCTGAAGGACCAGGGGTGGTCCAGCCAAGGTCCTGCAAGGTTTGGGTGCCTGAATCCCAGGTAGAAAAGGTCCATGATTACCCCTGGTTCTGGTGAACCAAGGTGGGGTCAAGTCAAAGTCCTTGGTTTTCCATGGTTCTGGAGATCCAGGGGGTGGTCCAGTGAAGGCGCATGCGGGGTTTGGGTGTCTGAATCCTGTTGGCGACAGGTCAGCTTCGGCAGCAATGAAGATAAATAAACTGAGTTCCCATCATCCCCTGGTTCGCCCTTCATCTCTCTGTTGCTCTGGCACACATATGTTTTCCTAAATTCAGTCTTGTTAATGTAAATACATGATTGCAAGCACATGAGAAAATGACTGCATTTTACAACCCACTGCTCATACAGACCCATTTATAGGCTCCTGTGGTGAAAAAAGCCAGCAGTATAGCAGCGTGATCACACAATAAAACAAATTCAGAAAAATCCAACTGTCATTTTGAGAACATGTACTCAATAGGGGAAAAAAATCACTTGTCAAGATGGGACGTTTTAAAATTCCCAGTGGGACAATTGTTGGTACTCCTAACAATTTGCTAAAGATGATGAAAAGTAAATTATGCATTATTGTTTTCAGTTATAGGATTCAAGAACTTATAATTAGCAATCCATCACTTCTTTACCCAGAGGTATGACTATCATGAGAGTCGCAGTCCTTCTAGCCACTGGACACTGAGCTGGACGAGGCCTCATGTTAATCTTGTCCCCACAGAGAGAGAGTAGGATGATAAAGGAGGATTAAAAAAAACTCTGCAACAAAGCATGGGGTTACCAAGTCCTCACAACATCCATATTTTTGCTTTATTTATTGAGATGTTTGGGACTGATGTTGGAAAAGCTGTCTTCAAACCCGTATTACCAAACTCTCTAAATGTTCCAACCTTGTGAAATGCTAAAGGAAATCAAGCTTAGAATGTTTCTCCCCACTCCATGTGATGTATATGATTATGGCTGGATTTCAGTTTTCAGTTTGAAATGGTTTCTGCAATAAAGGATGGATTATCTGATTGATTTATTTAACTCATCTTTACTTCGATGCTAATTTGTCATACTTTGTCACAGAGGCATGAATTAACACCTTACATTATCGTTCTCCTCACCCAGATGTCTGCAAGTTTTAATTTGGTCGCCTGCAAAGTGTGTGTTTGCTGGTTCGACTCAAACTTGTCAAACAATGATATTGGACTTTCTATTGAAACTTCCCACAGATCTTTCTTTATAATGATCATCCTATGATGACATCTCATATATCACATCTCGCGCACTTATTAAACGTGCTCCTGTCACTCTTTTAGTCTCATTCCATTTCTGTCCATTTGTCACAAGACATTGGTGCAGTATAACATTCTTGATGTCTTCCATGTGTCTCTGCCTTCTGTTCACAGCTGTAGCCCAGAGGGTAGAACTGGAAATGAGAAATATTTAAGAAAGTAACAAAGAAACCAGAACTCTCTTTCATTTGTTTACCATGCGTTTCTGATGTACTTGGTTCTTCATGTTTTAGCTGTTTTTAGCTAAAACGTGAAATAACCTAAATTTTTGTTACTGATTTCTCTTCTATTGCTTCTCATCTACAGGATGATGGAGATGTGGAAGGCGACATGACACTTCGTGAGGTAAGACCCAGAGTTGATGACACAATGTTTGTATTGTGGCACAGACTTCCCAACTAATAGCAGCTCTCTCCCAGCAGAACAATACAATATTATACATCTTGACAGCTCTTAAAAATGCCCTGATGATGTCTTTAAGGTAATCTGAGTTAGTGTTTGAAGAATTGAGCTGTCCAGAAAGGAAATGGGGCGCAGCAGTTGTAGGGGCACCCTCCAGACATGACCATGAGGGAAATCATGGAGGTTATTGTTACTACCTTTCTGTCCCTGACTGAATCTTCAATAATGTAAGAGGAGTTCAATTTCAAAGTTGTGATGAATAAACTGCCAAGCATGGTGTGTGCTGTTCTGTAAATGAGAACTCTGTTCATAGAAAAGTAAATGGAGGATTTTATTAGGTAATTTGGAGAGAATGAACACTTGGAAGAATGAACTATTTTTAGGGAAAAATTATTTTCTACGTCTTGCTTTTTATGAGTATTTTTTTTTTTAAATTATTACTAAAATGGTTACCAAATATGTAGCAATGCATCACATGATGATATACTACATTGGGTTCACAACTATGAGACAAAGTAGGTTGATGGTATGCTTTTGAGAATCACCTTTTATTTTATTTTTTTAAATAATGCAAATGTTTTGCAAATCACAGAAACTAACTGGTCTTCAGTTATTCAGTCTACTGTGGATTCTATGATTCTCTTTGTTTTCTGATTACCTTAATGTCTCATTTGTATGTTCGTAAATTTAGTAAAGATTTCATTAATATTTAGCTGTAAATCTCCTCTATTGATTTATCTGATTCAGGTTTGATCATTTTAATATTTTATTATTTGAGCTACATTTGATAGTAACAAATACTGGAATCTGTTTTTTATGTTTTAAGAGTTTGCAACTTTTCCAAACAAGCATACATGTAGCCTTTTAAGAAAGTGGTTGTTGAAATTATATTTTAGTTGTGATCATCTTGTAGATGGGATTTATCTGCTGATTTCGAGGGTTAGTGTTTATGCTGGTGTCACACTGAAGAACTTCTTTCAAGTCTTCGATAGATGGAGACTACTTTTCATTCCATCTCTTCTCATTTCAAAGCCTATGTTTGTCTTACTGGAAACTCTGGTTACGCTTGATGTCATCACAGTCCGACAAACCTTGGCCCTTCGCTTTTTTCAATGTGCCCAGATGGGTCACTTACCCTGGAGTCGTATATTTTTGGATATGACATCATTCATAATTCATCCATCAACAGAACCTCTCATTTCCTTTCTGTCAGAAACATATTCCTCACCCTTTTTTTTTTCTTCCTTTCGTTCACTCAAATAACGTTCACCTTTCATAAATCTGCCATGTCACAGCTTCTGTCTTTGTCTCTCTTTGTTTGCCTCTGGTGCTGAGCAGCATTGCAGTGTAGGTTGCCTTTGATTTATAATCGCTCAGCGCTGCATCTGTGCCACTAAATGGATGTGATGTGTCAAATAGTGGTTTGGAAAATATGATGCTTTTGTCAGCTGATCACAGGCTGATATTAGTCATAAAGGCTTCATCTGTTGTCAGTATTTTCTGAACACGCTTTTTTTTTTTTATAGCCTAACCACAAAGATGTACAGCCAATAAAGACAGGCTCTAAATGTTGGGCTTTTTTTTTTTTTTTTTTACTGAGAATGTTTAAAATCCCGTTAATCGAGGTACATTTACCACTGACACTACTGCAAAGCACTTCACTGTTTTTGCCATCTTTCTGTCCTTTTAAATTTTTGCTGATCATCTCTGATCCTCCAAATCTGTGTGATTTGTAGATTCCAGAGTGGGAGGAGAGGCAGCTTGATGAGCAAGTCAACTTCAACAACTGCAAGATTGACCCCGCCCCCTTTCAGCTGGTGGAGCGCACTTCGCTGCATAAGGTCTGATTGGAGACACAGCTGCTGTTTACCCTCTTTGTGTATAGAAGTGCATCCTTCCTGATGGATGTGTTTCTCAGTGTTTAGAGGGATTAGCCAGTCGCCACTCTGAGCTGCACAGAGCCTTGAAGCTTTACAGTATTCACAACCCTTGACCGTTTCCTCACAGTGTCATATTATAAACATCAATGCCGAGGTTTTATGGTAGACCAACATAAAGTAGCACATTATTGTGAAGTGGAGGGAAATCTGAAAAGTGTGGTGTGCACACTTTTCAAATTGTATTTTGACACCAATCAGTGTTCTGATCAGATGAGACCAATCTTTTGCTTTGAGTCAAATTACTTTGTGTGGTGGAAAACTAGAACTGCACACCATCCTGGACACATCATACTGTCAAGCATTTTGGTGGTGGCACCATCATGCTGTGGGAATTCCTTTCTTCATCTGGTATACTAAAGCACTGTTTCCCAACCCTGGTCCTCAAGGCACAATGTCCTGCATGTTTTAGAGGTTTCCTTGAATTAATGTGCCTGACTCAACTGATTGCGGTTCAGGAAACGCCTGTTAATCAGTTATCAATTGAAATCAGCTGGGCTGTAGCAAGGAAATACCTAAAACATGCAGGCCAGTGTGCCTTGAGGATCAGAGTTGGGAAACACTGCACTAAAGGGCTGATGAGATGAATAAGTTTACCTTCCAGAACCAAAAAACCTATGCATACAGCAGGTGCTTCAATTAAATGGTTCACATTAAAATATGGTCACATGTTCAAAAGGCCCAGTCAAAATCCAGACCTAAATCAAAAAACTATTTGTGGGGAGACTTAATAATTTACATTTACTAAGTTTGAGCTAATTTGCGAAGAATGGCAGATATTTTTAGATGTGCAAAATTAAAGCATCATATAAACGGTAGCAAAGGACAATTGAAGTTAAAGTTCATTACTTCCTGAGTGAAAGAAAGGAGCTTCACTCTTCTTTATTTTCTTTCCTGCTTCACATTTCTGCAGCCCTGAGGAGGCTCAGTCTACAGTCACGCAAACACAGCTGTGGGTTGAAAAACTTCATACAGAGTACACCTGCATAGAGCTCCTTTGACTTGCCAGCAGTCATGGCAGCACCTAATGTCTCCCATCTATAATGCTACTGTGGCTCTCCAAAGTCTTCGGGGCTCCGTATGAATACTCTTTAAACATTTAAGAGCGAGGGATCCTGCACCAATCCATCTCGCTTCCCTCCTTTCACTGCATCCTGCAAAAAGTCAACATCACACACAATCTCCCTCAACATAAACAGTGCCATCACTTTTAGAAGAAAATGCAAAGGTACTTCTTCTGATGATTGACTCATTTATTCATTGATGATAGTTGGTGGAATTCTTTCTACGTTTGTGTGCCAAAGGACTGTGGAATAAATATAAACACAGGTTGTAGCTGGGATCTCTGGTTGCTGATAATTAGTGTGCTGCTGATCAGTTGATTGTGAAAAAGCCTGTGCAGCGGCATCAATCAATGCACCTCAATTTAAAGAGATGCTGGCGTCCTCACTGAAGCTGCTGCATTCTCCTCTGGGATACCTATTTGACAAATTACATTGCAGCTTACCGTGGCCTAAAAAACACTCAACATTCTTTTCTTGGCACAGCCTTTATTTTCTGTGCTCTGTGGGATCAATTCCAGCTATCCCAGATGGGGAAAGTCTCCCAAAACTAAAGTGCAGCTTGCCTCAGAAATAAAAACCATCTTATCCAGCAGAAAAGTAGTTGAAGATTCAGTCTTTTTATTTTTCTCTAGCTGCACAAATTCACCCTATTCCAGTGTAAATACTATAATTCAACAAATAGGCATAAGTATGATGACCTTGAA